CGAAACGAGCGTGTTCGACGCCTAGTTTATGGCACAGGAAAAGGAACTGAACCGTCCAGCACCGTCATTTCACGCATCAGGCTCCGATGGCTCGATCACGTGTTACGCATGCCAGCCCACTGACTCCCACGACGTGCGTTGTTTGCGCGCCGGGGGTGTGGATGGAAGAAGAGGAGGGGTGGTCAAGCGATGACTTGGTCCAGAGGAATGAAGGCCCTCACTTCTGAGCAGGCCTCAGTTGGAACGCCTCGGCTCCCTGCTTGGGGTCCGAAAGACGATGAACACGTTTGGTTGGACACACTTGCTGATATGGCTAGGAGCCGACCTCAGTGGCGTTCGTGCTGTGAGTTTCTTTGTCCCACTCCATCCCTCTTAGCCTCCCACTCCAACCACGATCTCATTATTTAGCCTTATACAATCTTGCATAGTAATTTTTTTATGCACAGTGGCCGGCTGGTAGCTTACCGGAACGATGCCCATCCGTTACCGGTAGCTCAGCATTTTCTATGTATTGCGGCACAGTAGCTGAGGTGTTCCCCATTTCTAGCTAACGTGTATGATGATGATGATGGGAGTAGCTCCACACCTTCCAATTCATGTCCTGTAAATGCAATCTCCATGACTTCGTCAATAGCTAAGTTGAAGAGGAAAGGTAACAGCGGGCATCCTAATCGACCTTCTTCCGTCAGACTAACTGTACACATAGTCGTTGTGGACCCGCTGTTACCACCCGACATTAGCAGTACTCCGCAGCCAACCATGGCAAAAGAAAGGAAGTTGTCTCAGATCTTCTGACGTACGGGACCAAATCCCACTCACATTGAGATGGTCTATTCCTGTGTTGTCTTATAGGTTTCGTCAATTTTGTAAATCAGTCCTTGATCAACGGAGGAAGTTTAAGCAGCGTCTACAGAACAAGTTGATAGAGGCCAATGGGAAAATGTTACTCGTGATTCAGGTAAGTATGTGCTGAAGGCATCAAATGTACGACTTGAGGATCTACAATTGGGAGCGCTATCTCTAGGTATTGAGCATAAAATCACTCCTAATTAGAGGAACTGACTATTCGTCCAGGCAAAGTTTGAGAATTTTTTCGATCAGTTGGCAGTACTGAAACAAGCCAGCCAGGACGCTGTCAATTGGTTTAGGAATCGATCATGATGTTCTTATGGTACCGGTGAGCGAGAAATGTGTGCTAGCAAGAAGACGATTACAAGCGTTACGAGCGTTGAAGGATAAGGGAGTGGTTGTAGTAAGCCAGACAAAGGCTCAGGCGCAGTAGTAATTACCCGAGACGACTATATTCAGACAATGTTGGGCTTGCTGGACGATGGAAGCAAATTTCAACGTATCGATCGACCGGAGAGTCTGTCACAAGTAGAAACTCGCATCAATCGCCAATTACTTCTGGTACATCGCATCAAGGACCAGGAGACTTACAGTAGTCTGAAACCGAATGGCTCAACAACGCCAATGCTGTACGGGCTGCCAAAGATGCACAAGGAAGAGATGCCACGCCGACCAATTTTAGCAATGGTGAATTCCCCGCAGTATAAATTGGCGCGTTGGTTATAAAGAATATTAGCCCCACTCAGTCAACATTTAATTCGACACAGCCTTAAGGATCAATTCGGACTCATTGAAGAGCACGACCAAATTAACCTAGCTGACAAGATGTCCAATTGTTGTTTACTGATGTTCCTTTGATCGAGACAGTCGATTATATAAGCCAACTGATCGATGTCGCGTGCAAATATCGACAGACATAATCAGACGGTCTCTGCTACTCTGCACAGAAAATGTCGGACTCATTTCCAACAAGCCGCATATCGCCAAATCGATGGAGTAGCCATGGGCAGTTCGTTGGGCCAAGTACTGGCCGATTTTTCCATGATAATATTAGAAAGGAGGCTAAGTGAAGATCTCTCAAGTTTCTTACTACAAACGATATGTCGATGATATTCTCATGTTTGGTTCTTCGAGAATGCGTATTGAACGCTTGCTGCACCTGCACATGTTAATCTAAAAGTCACTAATGGATTCGGGATGAATTACCGTCTGCCGTACTTGGACACTTTCACCAGTCGAAGAGATACCGGGCTCCTTAAGCAGTCCAACTACCGGACACCAACATGGTCTACATGTTATCAATTTCGCGCCGATAGGCCACAAGCATGCACTGGTGAATACCTTGTTCACTCGTGCCAGGCGTATTTGCTAGCGCAATTGTCTGGCTGAGGAGATAGAGACAATAAGCAGAACGCTCTTGGAAAACGGTTACCCTAAACGCTTCATCGAGACGCATAGCCAGGTCAGACCGCCGAAGTAAATGGTGTTGACAGAACCTAAGAAAAAGGTAGACCTCTGGCTCCCATTTAAGAGTAATGCCGCCACAATGAGGACAACCAAGCGCTAAATCTCTGTCATTCGGAGAACCTAATGCGCCACAGATGCTGTAGTAGTCAACAGAACCAGGAAACTGTCGCTAACTTCAGCAAAGGAAGTGGAACCTAGCAGCGCCAAATCACACTGTGTTTACCAATTTGTAACTAAGGAGTCAGACAGGGATTTGCATTCCAGATTTAAGGAGTATCTACCCAAGTGGGTTCAGCGTGAGGTCAGCCAACTTTTACCCAATGTTCCGCGCGCACGCGAGCCGCCAGGCAAGCATATTTTAGTGGCCCGTCATTGGATTGATCCCGGCTCCGCGTTTCGGATGTCATTACGTCATCCTAATCCTGCGGTTTGCCGATGCCGTGGCGATAAGCTAGCTGAGACCTGCCCTGTGCGCGCACAAACATAATAATTGTTGACCGTTGGTTGCCCTGGTCCTAGGACCATTGCCGCCATCCACCTCACTGCATTTGACTGGCTTGATAACACATCTTGGACGGTACAATAATGATTGTTTGTTATTGTACGGTACTGATGAGACAATACGCGCATCTACCAGTGTCCGTATTCTCAGTGTGTTATTCAGTCTACAATGTTCCAATAGTCGTGCAGCTGCACAGGTTCGCCCCTACAACCACATAAAGTACGCAAAAGCCTAAAGAGAGACAAGGGAAAAGTGGGTCAGTGACTATCTGCTTCTGTTTCATCAGTACGGTCCCAGTGGTCGAAATGGTTAAGTTTACTTCAACAAGAATTGCAGTCCACAAGGAGATTGCGTCACAATTCATTCACAAAACGAGTACATCAAAATGACCCTCCAAAGCTAGATGAGAATCGATTAAGTCATAGTAGACTACGCGATTCGGGAGTCTGACTTTCCAATAATCGCACAGCTACACAGATGCTTGCGTATAGGCACAGGCACTCAAACTTCGCGAAAACAGATGAGAAAAGTGGGGAGACTTAGCCACCGCCTTTGATCGAGGCTCACGATCAAGAGAAGGGTTCGCAGTGGCACAGGCTGCTTACACAATTCGGTTGCATGAGCAGGCCACATAGTCCAGTCGCCTTACTCCACAGTTTTTTTTAACAAATTGCTTATTTTCTACTTATAATGCAATGTCAAATTTGGTTCGCCAAAGGTATAACGTGGCTTGCAAAATAAATAAATAAAATGTTTATTCTCGACTACGCCAGGCACCCCTGCACAGGCATGGTCAAGGTAAGAGGACAAAGAGTGATCAGCTAATGTACAATGGAACAGTATGATTGTCACATACGTAAATATATGAATGTGTGTATGTATGCATTTCTTGCTTTCTCCTATAAATGTCTAGTGTCTAGTGAGTCATGAGCGAGGCCACTCGGGACCACTACAGAAGCGACGACGGGCCCTGCAGAGAAGTATTCAAAACCGGTGCAGCGTCTGTAGATATGTTGCATTCGATTTACTAACTGCGTGCTTGCATGCTAAGTCTCTTTATTTCAGGTGGTGGGTTTTCAATCTTGCCTTAATGCTTTTCCTTCTCATATAAATGTCTACCTGTACTCTATTCCATTAACTTGCACACCTCGCTTAAGCCGACTGTATTCGATTTACATAACATTTTTGTGTTCGTGGCATTTCCGTATAGTATACTTTCTCACCTCGTGAACTTATCTAGGATTCGTTTGCAAACAACTTATTTCACATGCTCATCAACTTAAGGTTTATGTCACCGTTTCCGTATGCATCAATCGAGTTATTTTCTTTCCCTCTCTCCCTCTCTCTCTCTCAAGTGTTTGTCTGTTGTTTGATATCCCCGGTGTGGCTGCGTTTGATGTGCATGTTGACAAGGTGCCTACCTGTCTATTACCCACTACATCGTTCATACTGGCTTCAGGAGACAGTTGGTCGTTGCTGGAGGGGACGGGGTGCACGGTCCTTGTGGCCGTGTTAGGATCAAAGAGTAGTTCCATGCACTCAGTGTGGAGCGGACTACGGTCCAGCCACCGCCTTGTGTGCGCTTGATTCCCAAATACAGTGTGCTTGTGTTTGCCTGTGAAGGAGTGTGGGCCGACTCCGTTGATGAAACGTGGTTCCCATCCGCATGCCTCCCGGTCTTATTCCTTCGGGTTTACACTGAATATGGGGTGTGTGGTTGGAGCTGTGGGTGGTGCAGCGCAAGCCATCTATGGTCCCTCTGTAGGCGCAGGCGTCCTGTGGCTTGCCACAGTGACAGGCAAATCCGAAACCGGATGCCGCCAACCATGTATGCGTGTGTTGCCGGGTTTATGGGAGTTGTAAATGTTTTCCTGCAATTTGTCTTGTAAAACGTCCAAGGTGGTTTACAAACGTCCAATTAAAAGTGCAAATGGTATGTATAAACTGTGCCAAATCTGGACACAGCTTTTCACTTGATGAGATATACACATTTTATTATTATTAGTATCATCATCACAGCCGAGTGATGACAAATGGATTGGCTTAGAAAGCGATGAAAGGTAAATAAGATTGCACTAAATGATCATTTTATACTTTTGGTGGTACAAGCAGAGTTCGCGCGATCTCATGTTGCAACGAAAACGACTGATCGCGATCGGGATTAAGATAGAAAGGTACTCACGGTTCCGGATGTGAAGTAAAGCGTCTTTGACAGTTGCCGAATTGCAATTCCCATAGACGTACTGTTTTGTCGCTGCTACCGGTGATTAGCAAACGACTATCAACAGATATATCGAGACTGGTGACGGGCGCCGCATGTCCATACAGTGAGTGAACGCGCTATAAGATGTAACAATCACACACACAAAACGCAAAGTGGACATAACAGGAAAGGCGACATGATTGTAGACCGAGTGGTATTCGAAATGCAAGCCATCGTTACCGTAATATCTAATGACATAGTGAATTTATCGATGTAAATGCATATGTATGAAGACTGACCATAGGAAAAGCTCCTGAATGATTAACAAGAACCGTGGACCTATATAAAACCACCAACACAGTAACTATTAGCTGGTTGTCGTCAAAACAGGAAGAACACTGTTTGGAACGCTTCGAAAGCGCAGTAAATGTACCCATACAGCACACCGACGCATCTCGAATGACGGCATCACTATTGCATCAAGCATCAGACATCCGCGGCTGCCTACGGCAGCCAGCTAAGTAAATATAGTCCGTTGACCAGAGTTGATACAGCTAAGGAGCACGATGAATAAACACGATATGATGTACTGGATGATAGTCTCAAACGCAAAGTAGGAACGGATTGATAATATGACTGCCCATATGTCATTCATTTTGGCAGCACGGTCATCACCAAGACGATGTTTTGTATACTCCAATAAACTGATAAAAGATAACAGGTGATGCGTGACGACAGAATGCCGGACTCTGTGACGAAGAAAGCACGAATATGAACAAGATAAGTGTGTAAATTATCAGCTATCCAAAGCTATGATCAATGGTTGACGGTATCGAATGTTAATTTCCAGCTCTCTAAATGACAAACGCTTTGGGAGCAGTCGCCTTGATGGCGTCCGATCAATACTTGCATGTCCCTAAAGGTCGTTTAATGCATTAGTACAGCAGTTTGGGAAGCCAAAGATTGGCATCGACCTATTTGTTGGTGTCAACGCAAACAGAGCACCTAGGTACACGAAACTATCTTAATAATTAAAGAAAGAATAACGGTTTCATTTGGGTCAATTTAAGGGAACCGAAGATAACCGAGGCGAGTACACGCAGCAGCACAGATTAGATAGTATGAATGTTAATGAGAAAAAATGATAATGTTATTTATATAAGGAACCTATGGGGAAAAGTCTAAATAAATAATACATCCAGTCAGCAAACCCTACTATAAAGAGGTTATGGAAAATTGGTCGGGGTTGCATAATACTGAGTACTGTAGTATTGGAGCATGAAACAAAAACAGTTAGGGGAGTACAACCTTGAAGAGATCCATGAGATAGACATCGACGTGAAAATTGACCAACCCGATGCCGACCAGGTGATTACTTGCTGAGACGGCAATGCACGTAATTTGATCGGCAACAGTCTCGGGATCACGAGCTTTCACGAGACAAAGTGAATGGAATCTGTTGGAGTAGAGGATAAATAATAAATGCAACTAAAGATGGCTATTTAATCCAATTCGATAATTGATAAATTAGGGCTGTTAATATTTGGAGGGGAAAGAATGGCCAATTTGGAGCAAAAAATGTCCGGAGACCAGAATCCAGATGGCACCGCTGGGTCGCGACTAAATTTGGGAACGACGGACCCCAGACTGCAGCGATGGACTTGAATTCAATCCAGTGTGAGGAGCAGCTGATAAGTTGACATGCATACCATCGGAATGAACATATCTTACGAGCCGGATAATTGTGATCTGAGTTACAGAACATTGTAACAGTGCTGTCAAAACTACTGAGATGGTCAATTCTGTCGGAGGACGAGTCCATATTTATCGGGAGGACGGTGGAATAGTTGAAATAATGTTAGGACATACTAGAAAGCAGTGTGCTGTGCAAAACGATGCAAATTGAAGAGGCAAATCCAACAGATAACGGTGAAAAGATTGTTCGTTTGACAAAGTTAAGTAGGTATTGGAAAAGAGCACTAGAGTGCCAGGAGCAAATGGGTTCAAACAGTAGATAACGGAAAGAAATAAAGGAAAATAAAGGAGAAAGGTAGCTTCACAGAAGTCCTTAAACTGATAACAGGTTAAGACAAATCGTAGACGTAATGTGAGCAGATAACATTTCAGAAACACAATTACGACTGGAAAGAATAGGATCGATTCGCTTGGAGGTACTAGGACACGAAGGATTACATGAACAGTGGGCGAAACGAAACAAGTAATCGGCTCTATCATTTATCGGAGTAATGAGCATAATGTTGATCACAGACCGGTGAATAGTCAAAATCATTGTACTCAAATTGGCAACTTCCACTATAGGAATATGACGAAAATATCACCTTTGTAATAGAGGTCCCACGTGTGAAAACTTGTATTCAAAGGTGATCAGTAGCTTAGTGTGACGGTGGTTGTAATATCCGGAAGAACTAATTCCTCGCACCAAATGGATTATTCACTCTCGACAACTACGCTTTCGTGTTTTAGACAGCTATATATTAAAAGGAAGATCGTTATTCCCTTGCATGTACTTTACGTTTCAAGGTCACATTTTTAACAGTCTGCTACTAGCGTTACAATTACCTATAGCGTTCCCTGCTCGCAAGTTGAAAATTTACTAGTGAGGGTTTTCCATTATTTTACCCTTTAGAGCCACGGTTACAAGATACTATTAGAAAAATTTTCACTCCAACCGTGAGTATAATCTAGGTTTATAGCTCAAAGCAACATTATTAATGTACGTTTCTTGTGAGATTTATTTTGCATAATTCTTTCGTTACAGTATTCATGGTTATGATCCGCACCGCAACACCAAACGTAAGCTTTGTTTCACATTGCATGGGGATAAGAACAAGTAGATTTCTCCGGATTGAGAAGACTGCTCCGGCAACAGAGATAGATCACTGTGTACAGTCATGATCAGAATATTGCTTGAGTAAGGCAAGGGCGCAGTAGTGTCTGTGCCGCGAAGATATATTAAGATTCAGTTTATGTTGGTACTGAGCTTTGTGGAACTCAGTTTGTTCACCGGTAAAATGTTTTCATGGGCAAATTTATTGCTGGAAACATAATCATCATCAAAATCTGGTCAAGAAAAACTACAATTTTAATGCGGAATGTTCCTGCATTTGCGCAAGACTTATTAATATGTGGCTATTTATGTAAAGGAGAGCGTATGCAATGAGAAAGAAAGCAGTGTATATGTGACCTGGCTGCTCGTACGATTACTGTAAACTCTTGTTTTGTGATCTCCGAGCGTAAATATGCTGCAAAGATAGACCAATCCTTGAAACTCTCCCCCACTAGCATACGGTGCCCAAGTGCTAAATCATTTGCATTGATGATATCACTTCAAAATGGTGATGAAACATCCGCACTCAAACTACTTGGTTTAACGAATACCATAGCAACGGAACATCTGAAACGACTCCGATCGGTATTCACTTCACCAACCTCTCTTCACTGACAACTGGTGGGACAATTAATCGTGTTGTCGGTGGATAACGGACTGGGTTGAAGTTGCAATTGAGAAGCTCAGATGAGCGCTTATTTCAAGCGGGAAGAGTGAGCGCCAGGCGGACGAGCATTAAAATCTCGTTAGAATGCAAGCACTTATTCCAAATTTGCAAAAAGTCTCGAACCGAAGTGTGCCATTTGTAGCTGATGGTTATGTGGTCAAGTTGGGGTCAGGTAATCTAGAGATTCGGTGTGCACCATGTGATAAGACATGAGCGTTGTTTCGGAGTCGATCACCATTGTATTCTTGGTGGGCATCAACCCCGAAACGACCTCATAAATGTTGTTCAGAGTCCGAAATTCGATATGGTGACAGAGAAAAAGAAGAAACAGATGAGAAAGTAGTAGCTTTGTCTCGAGTGGTCGCTGCCCGAAAACTGGCGACTGAGTAGGCAAGTAGACGGATTTTGCCACAATGACGCAGTTGTATCATCAACCGGTAGACTACCAGTTGGCGATTTCCGACCTGCTATTGGTGAGGAAGCAAGAAGTGTGCCAGAGGCAGTCAAATTGGAAAACCAACATCAACAGCATGTTTTAAGGAATGTGATGAGTGAGTTCTATGAAGGCAAGGACAATGAAACTTATCAACGCCACTTATTTCCGGTCGAAACCGCCTTCCAAGTGAATTAGTAAGCTACTAAGTAACTGTGCTGCAAATGTTGACAACAACGTGCCATTTTGCGAATGCCTACCCGATTCGAAGGTGAGAGATCAAATTGCGCGAGGAATTCAGAATGAGAACACCAGAAAATTATTGCAAAAGTGAAACCTAACGCTAGACCAACGCATCGACATTTGCAATAGCGAAAGGGTAAAAGCATTTTAATTTCGGCAGATGAAAAGTGAAACAATCATTGAACTGTGTGCTATTTCTCAGCCCAAGTATGCGATGCCACAGACTGCCCCGACAGGTGGACCAATCTGCCAGTACCGTGGCCGTAGTTATATCAACCGAAATAAAATTTGTGCCGCCCTGAGAAAGAAATGCATGAAGTGCTCGAAGAAGAATCATTTCGCGAGATATTGCAGATGGAAGAAAGTGGATTCAGTGGACAGTGACATTTCACCATGGAAATACTGTTCTGGAGAGCGGTGTGTCTAGACAAAACTGTTCAAAAATGTGGAACGGCACCAAATCCCAGCCTAAAAACGGTGTCATACCGGAGGTCATCAAACGAAAAAATGGAACAAGCCATCAGATCGAGTTTGCAATGGTGCATGGAAATTTTGTGCCCATCCTGGGCGTTGATGCCAATCAAAGACTTGCCATTTTTAATGGGGAGCGTTTTGTGCATTCATGTCAGTTAGCCACAGACATCGTTCATTGTTATCCTAAGTTTTTGACAAAATATAGATGTGACGGATGTTACTAAAGTATTTTGCTGTGTCGATGATCGTGTCTACTATAACGCACACGTAGCGCTGCGAGTAAAATATTTACAAGAGATGAGGCGCCTAGCTTCGCTCGGCGCCATTACCTAGTTTGTAGAACCTGATGATTGAGTCAGTTAGGCAGCAATTGTTACTAAGAGGTTCGGTGATTTGAGGATGTGTATTGAGCCAAAACCGTATAATACCGCCTTTGGAAGAGTGCTACAACCTACCGACATTAGACGATACAATGGCAGTTCGATGAACGGTACGGGTCCTCAGAAAGGTTAACCTAAGTTTCGTATTCTAACATGTCGTGTTGGACGACGAAATGAGCAACATGACGACGTGTGGCAAACGATTCAATCGATTCCGGTTAAGTTCGAAAGTTTCCAGTGAGATTTACCAAAAACACCTATTCCAAGCGTTAGAATTGTCAGGAACCATTTGCGTAACGTTTGGCATGCTAATATTTGGCGACACTGCAGAAGAGCACAAATACAATTTCGACCGACTTTTCCAGAGATGCGCTGACAAAAACACTGGATTGAAACGCGACAGCGTCGAATTTTGCAAACCAGAGACAGTATTTTACGGACACGTTATAAATTCCAATCGGCTGAAGCCTGATCCAGAAAACATAAGGGTAATAAACAAAATGCCGATCCTGATGACGTGAAAGGAGTTATTCGGTTGAACGGAATATTAAATTACCTATTCGAAGACTGAAGTATAAAAAGTGTGATTGGATCCGGAAGAGTGAACAAGAGAAAGCTTCCAGTCGATCAAAAAAATATGGACGCGACTGCTCCAGTACTAGCTTACTTCGGTTTATCTCTGCCACTCGAGATACGCTGTGATAGCAGCGAACATGGGATCGGAGATGTTGACGCAAAACGGAAAACCGCTGGATTTTCGAAGTCGGAACTTGACACCAGAAATAATGCTGTTATGGACAACTCGAGGAGATGCACGCAATCACGCATGCGGACGAACGCTTTAACGACTACACTATCGGACGAAGGACCAGGTCACAAGCCATTGGTGTCAATCGTCAGAGAACAACATGTTCCGTGCTGCCTTCAACGGATGCGCATTTGGTTTCATATATACGATTTAGAGATGGTCCTTACCAACCAGGGTCTCAAATGTACATTGCGGACGTCCTGTCGAGAGCCCATCATCGGATGCAGGTGCAATGCAAAATGGCCTGGACACGGTACCCACGATACAGCAACACGCGATCACTGGAGAGCGTTTATAACAACTGAGACAGTGCGCAGACAAAAATGCACTCTGAAAAAGTTTGAAACGAATCGTAATTAATGGATGGCCTAAGGATAATGAGCTTGGTAGCATAACTGACACCGCTCTCTCATTTCCTAGACGGCGTGACGTTGAAAGCAATCGAGGTTATGCGGCACACCTCGTTTGAAAAAGTTCACGGTACATACTTGGAAGTCGAGAAGTGCGTTGGACAAGTGAGTGAGTCGATGTTTTGGCCTGTGACAGTCGGTCATATTCGAGACTAGGTGTCGAAATGCTTAACCAGTTGCGCACAGGACGTTC